AGAAGCCAAACTCAAAGATTTGAAGGTCAAGAATTTTCTGTTTCAAGCTATTGACAGAGAAATTCTTGAAACAATTCTTGACAAGGGAACCTCAAAAGCAATTTGGGACTCAATGAAGCGGAAATATCAAGGGTCCACAAAGGTGAAAAGGGCATAACTCCAGGCATTAAGAAGGGAGTTCGAGTTGCTGGCCATGAAAGAATGAGAGAAAATAGACACTTTCTTGGGGCAAACTTTGACCTTAGTGAACCAAATGAAGTCAAACGGTGAGACAATGGAGCTGAGTATCGTGGTCAGTAAGATACTTAGATCTTTAACTATCAAATTTAATTATGTTGTGTGTTCAATAGAGGAATCAAATGATCTAATTTCTCTGAGTATTGATGAATTACATGGAAGTTTACTAATTCATGAACAAAGAATGCAAGGTTACCAAGAGGAGGAGCATGTGTTAAAAGTGGCTCATGATGATCGATCAAACAGAGACAGAGGTCGAGGCGTGTTCAGAGGAGGACGTGGCCGAGGTAGATGGAGACAACCCACAAACAAAACAGTCATTGAATGTTTCAAATGCCACAAATTAGGACATTTCCAATATGAATGTCTTGACTGGGAAAAGAAAACTAACTATGCTGAATTAGAAGAAGAGGAACTTTTGTTGATGTCATATGCAGATATTCATCAAGAAAATAAAAAAGAGATATGGTTCCTGGATTCAGGCTGCAGCAACCACATGACGGGAAACAAAGAGTGGTTCTCTGAATTGGAAGAAACTTTCAATCGAACAGTGAAGCTTGGAAATGATACGAGAATGGCGGGTAGTAGCAAAAGTGAGTATAAAGGTGAAAATAAATGGCATAATCCAGGTAATATCTGATGTCTATTATATTCCCGAGCTTAAAAACAATCTATTAAGCATAGGGCAGCTTCAAGAAAAAGGATCAACCATTTTAATTCGGGATGGAACCTGTAAAGTGTATCATTCTAATAGGGGGATGATTATGCACACTAATATGAGTGGAAACATAATGTTTTCTATGTTAGCTCATATGCCACAAAGAAATTCCATGTGTTTGCAAACCGAAGATGTATCAGAGAAAGAGGCACGCATGTGGCACTGTCGATTTGGGCACCTGAATCACAAGGGATTGAGAACATTGGCTTTCAAAAAGATGGTGATTGGCTTACCTGTTCTGAAATCTCCCAAGGAGTTATGTACAACCTGCCTTACTGGGAAACAACACATAGATACAATGCCAAAGAGGAGTCTATGGAAGGCGTCAAAACAACTTCAGCTAGTACATTCAGATATATGTGGTCCTATCAAGTCAGCATCCCACAGTGGCAAGAGGTACATTCTAAGTTTTATCGATGATTATTCTCGTAAAACTTGGATTTATTTCTTACATGAAAAATCAGAAGCTTTTATTACTTTCAAAAATTTTAAAGCTAGTGTTGAAAAGGAGATAGGTGCATTCATAACTTGTTTGAGGACTGACAGGGGTGGCGAGTTCATCACAAATGAGTTTGGAGAATTCTGTAAATCACAGGGCATTAGCAGGGAGTTGATAGCAGCCTATACATTGCAATAGAACAGAGTTGCCGAGAGAAAGAATCGGACAATTATGAATGTTGTCCGATCCATGCTAAATGAAAGAAAAGTTCCCAAAACCTTCTGGTCAGAGGCTGTAAAATGGTGCGTTCATATTCAGAATCGATGCCCGACAACAGTTGTTGAAGATAAGACCCCAGAAGAGGCATGGAACAATGAAAAACCAGTGGTAGATTACTTCCGAGTTTTTGGATGTGTGGCACATGTTCATATACCAGGTCAAAACAGGAGAAAATTAGACGACAAAAGTAGGAGATGTGTTCTTCTAGGAGTCAGCGATGAATCAAAAGCTTGGAGGCTTTATGATCCAATCTCAAAGAAAATTATTGTCAGCAAGGATGTTGTTTTTGAAGAAGAAAAAGGTTGGGATTAGGGCAGATCTGTTGAAGAAATAGAGCAAGATATAATGGTGTGGGGTCAGTCGATAATCCTGAAAGTAGTCCGGGGAGTTACAAATGGTATCAGAGCACAAATAACTTGAGCAACATTCCTGGAAATTTCAGCAATTCCAGCATCTCTAATAGCAGCTCTAACAAGTCAATTAGTCTGACAGTTTCACCTCCAAATGAGCCAGGTTCTTATGTTAACGAATCGGTTGAAGGGAGGGGCATGCGAGAAAGAAGAGAACCAATATGGATGGCAGATTATGAAACAGGGGAAGGTCTCTCTGATGATGAAAATCTGAGCACAATGATGATGGTAACTGAGAATAACCCTACAACGTTCGAAGAAGCAATAAAATGAAAAAACTGGAGGGAAGCAATGTCATCGAAAATTGAATCAATTGAGAGGAACCAAACTTGGGAACTTACTGTGATTCCAAAACAAATCAAACTTATTGGAGTCAAGTGGGTATTTAAAACAAAGCTTAATGAAGATGGTACAGTGGAGAAGTTCAAAGCGAGGCTAGTAGAAAAAGGGTATGCACAACGCCATGGTATTGATTATACTGAGGTATTTGCTCTGGTGGCAGGACTTGACACTATCCATGTAATTCTTGCAATAGCTGCACAATTTAGTTGGGAGGTTTTTCAACTTGATGTAAAGAGCGCTTTTCTTCATGGTGAGCTGAAAGAGGATGTTTTTGTTGAGCAACCCGAGGGTTTTGTAAAGAAAGGAGAAGAAGAGAAAGTCTACAGACTTAAAAAGGTGTTATATGGGCTCAAGCAAGCACCGCGAGCTTGGTACAGTAGAATCGAAGCTTATTTCATACGAGAAGAATTTGAAAGATGCTCCAGTGAGCATACTCTATTTACAAAATCAAAAGGAGGTAAACTCTTAATTGTAAGACTTTATGTTGACGATTTAATTTTTACAGGGAATGATAAAAGCATGTGTGATGAGTTTAAAAATTCAATGATGTTGGAGTTTGATATGTCTGATTTGGGGAAAATGAGGCATTTCCTTGGAGTAGAAGTGAAACAATGTGCATGCAGAATATTCATTTGTCAAAGAAGATATTCAAAGAAGGTGTTAGCTAGATTTGGTATGGAGGACAATAATGCTGGGAAAAATCCCATAGTACCGGGTACGAAATTACGCAAAGATGAGGGAGGTGTACAGTTGATGAAACTCTGTTCAAGCAAGTGGTTGGAAGCCTTATGTACTTGAATGTAACTAGACCTGACATGATGTTTGGTGTTAGTTTAATAAGCAGGTTCATGGCTAAACCTACTATGGCACACTGGCTTGCAGCAAAAAGGATTTTAAGATACCTAAAAGGTACAATTAATCTGGGTATCTTCTACAGGAAGCAAGAAAACAATCTGAAACTTGAAGCCTTCACCGATAGTGATTATGCTGGTGACTTAGAGGATCCAAGAAGCACTTTCAGATTTGTGTTTAAATTGGGAGCGGGAGCAATTTCTTGGGCCTCAAAGAAACAGCCAGTTGTCGCTCTTTCTACCACGGAGGCAGATAACATAATAACGACTTTATGTGTGTGTCAATGTGTTTGGCTGAGAAGAGTGTTGGAAAAGATTGAAGTAGGAAAAAAAAACAGCAACTATGATCATGTGCGACAATAGTTCTACTATACAACTATCCAAAAATCATGTGTTTCACGGAAAAAAAATAAACATATTTATGTGAAATTTCACTTTCTTAGGGACTTAGTGAACAATGGAGTTATCAAGCTGAGCTATTGTGCCTCGTAGAATCAAACTGCAGACATTATGACGAAGCCATTGAAATTGAAATAATTTTGAAAAGCTTCGTGGGATGCTTGGAGTTACGGATATTACTAAAGTAAGCTAAGATCAGATAAATTAGCTTAAGGGAGGAATTGTTAGGTAGTTTATTATTATTAAAATATTAGCTGTAATTTCGCTTGTTTAGCCGTTCCTAGTTTTTAGGAAAGACCTATTCTTTAGGAAGAATAGAGTTTGTTTTGTCCACGTTTCTAGTTGTTAGTAGTAGACTCTGTTTTGCTTGTAAGGCTATTTATAAGCCTCATTTTATTGATGAATAATTAAACTTTCAGCTATTTGTTATTTCAAAACCGACAGAAATAACAGTGAGTTTTAATTCTTATATTATTTAAAAAAATGGAAGATGAATATTTTATAAATAAAGAGACTCATATACTTATAATTTTAAAGTTTTGAATGAATATGTAATATCTCTCTCATTTATTTGAATAAATCTTTAATATTTAAGCGAGTCTTTGACTCAATGTAAATACTTCTTCTTCATGTTGATCTAATATGATATCAGAGTCTGATCGATTAAGAGATCGACTTTTTATATTAAAAGTCTTTCTAACATAGTAGTGATCAAACAACGTGTACCATTAAAATATATTTTTTAAATTAAAATATCTATCAACGACAATATAAATAAATATATAGATGAAAGAAGTTTCACTTCAACAATAATATAATAGACAAAGTCACACATTTTACTATGACCAACACTTTTTTAAATTGCGACTCCTTGGTGATGTCCGAATATTTTTCAAGTTTTCAAGTAGCTAAACTTTTTTAAACCACGCTGAACTAGCATATTTTTCATTAGACCACCCAAAAAAAATCAAATAAAAGGGAGAAAATAAATTTTCTAATTTGTTAGACAGATAGTAGTACTAAACAATAGAGACACCGACCTTTACTTTGTTCTAGATAGAAAGTTAAAGTAGAGATAGGTCGTATTATACATTTACCGCCCCACCCTCTTGGACAAATAAAATTGTAAATTACAAACAAGGATACAGAATCGATGGTGTATAATGTTTAGCTTATGCTTTTTTATATCACTAAATTGTAAATTAATTTTGAAAATTTCATATATTTCCTACACATTACTATGTAAATAAACAACAAAAAATGGTATCTGCAATACAACAATATATGAACATCATATTTCTATCATCAAAATAAATCCTCTCCATTCACTTATACAAAGGATCAACAACTCCATCACCGCCGTCCTTTTTGCTTGTAACACGAAGGTAACAAAAAACAACAGCAAAAGTTGCCGTAACCAAACCACCTACGATCGCACCTCCACCAGCCATATCCGATGAATGAGAATGATGTTTTCCCATTCTTCTAATATCCGGACCCTCTGCTATTTCACTTTCTTCAATCTTGTGATAACTTTGGTGAACTTGTCTCTCGTGTTTAACCTTCAATGGCGCTCCGGAGGGCTCTTGTGCCGTGGCTAACAAGAAAATGTGAGTTATTATTACCGTTAGAGAAACCAAGAAAACCTTGTTCATTGTGAGAGTTAAGGTTCTGGTTTGAAGAGAAGAGTAAGTGTTACGAAAAAGAAATGTGAGGGAATGCACATTGGGTGGAGGGGTTTTTTATAGAAGAGGAATCAAGACCCATTTGTAATAAATGGTCTATGAAAGAGAGAAGTAGTAGGTTGGTTTTGGGAGTAAAAGGTAGACAAAATTTTATGATAAAATTGTTTTTGCTCTAGAACTTAACATATGCAATGCAAAATACGTACTAGCATGCATGAGACTTTATTTATTATTGCACTGTTCGTTTTAGGACAGATGAAATAATTCAAATTGAAGTTAAACTTGGTAGTTGATACATAACTCAGGGCAACAATGAACTTAATTATTGCATTTAAAAACTTACGCGGAATACCCTCTTGAGTCTCAACTGTGTGTTTTATTATGCATCTTCTTTTTCCTTCCTTCATTTATACATAGTATTAGTTTGTGATTTATAATTCAAATAATCTTTGTTTTGGCTGCCTAAATGCCTAAATGTTCAATAAAAGAGATAACTCACATTTAATTCAAATTTAAAACCCTATTCAAAACTTTCCTAATAGAGTTTGGAAAACTTGGAAGAAAACAGTTGTCATCATTTTAATTTGTAGCTGGAAATTAGAAGATAGCATGATTAATGCATTGATTTCCAATCACTTTCATCATATATAGATATATCTTTCCGCTATGTTTGAGAGTTTGAGGAAGGAAGAGAGAACTTTAAAAATAAGTAAGGTTGAATGAAAAGAGTAGAAAGATTTTATTTAAAAGGATTTTGGAGAATTTGTTTTTCTTTATAACGCTAAAAATCCTCTAATTTGAAAGAACTAAAAAATTTTATTGGAGGAAGATTTTGAGGGTTTTGGAGAGTTATAGAGGACTTAATCAATTTGTTCAAATATAATTTTTGTTGTTATACTATTTCAAAAACTTAATATACATTAATGATAAACATTATTTTATCATTCTAAGCAAAATCTTTTTTTTTTTAATATTAAAAATTTCTTTATATTTTAAAAAATATATATTTTTGAAAGCCCTTCCCTCTAAATTCTTAAACATAGTCTTCAGATATAACTAACACTAGATAACAATTCTTAGCCATTTGCCTCTCCTCACCTAAATTTGCGTATGTGGCAAATTGAGTATATATTTCTTGATTTTGTAGTTTGATCAAACTATTAATATGCACATTGTGACTATTAAAAGGCTTAAAGCCACAAATCTAACGTTTGCAAGAAGTCAGATTGAGTGATATGACTCATAACAAATCGGGAAACATAATTGTTATGTAAAGCTAACTATGAAACTGTGGCTAGAAGCCAGGTGATGATATGATTCATGTGTTATCAATGACAACTTTTATTTGATACAAGAAAGAAATTTAAACCAGTCTTTGGGCTCGAGTGTAAATGAGTTCTTACTAAAGAATAAAAGTTCGGAGAATACTAAATTTGATTTCTGATGGAAATAATGTTTGATCAGTGTTATGATTTTTCGGTTTGAACTCTAGATTAGTAGAATTTCATTTTTATTAGAACTAGAGTGTGAAAAAAAAAGAAGATTATATATTGTATGGTCAAGACCCAATTGATTATAACAAGAGGAAAGTTATTGGTCCATATTTTATTTGAGTCATTAATGGTTAATTATGTCATTGCATGTGCATACTAGTTTCTATTTGATTTCCGATGGAAATAATGTTTGATCAGTGTCATGATTTTTCGGTTTGAACTCTAGATTAATAGAATCTCATTTCTCTTAGAACTAGAGTGCGAAAAAAATAAGAAAGAAGATTTTATATTGTATGGTCAAGGCCCAATTGATTATAACAAGAGGAAAGTTATTGGTCCACATTTTATTTGGGTCATTAATGGTTAATTATGTCATGGCATGTGCATACTAGTTTCTATTCATACACATATGTTAGTATTGAAAATGAACTTTATCAAAATCGATAACCCTTCCTTTATCCTATTTAGAAGTTTTCTCACATGGGTTCTAATAGAAACCCTAGTTTTGAGTCGCTTAATAATGTTTATGCAATTTGTCTCGATTTCAACATACTTAATCGATCTTTATCTCTTTGGCTAAGGTGATTGTGTTAGAGATTGTTTAAAGTTCTGCTACCAAGACATTCTCAAAACCGTTCCCCCCCCCCCTATATTGTATAAATGGGTTTGCATCAGTATTAATTTTAATATAGTTTTCTTAGGTTTTTCCAAAATCATAACTCTCTATTTTCATGCAAGTGTTAGGGTTTATTTTAAATCTCTTCTTCCTATCTTATCAGTGACCTTGGAGCATGAAAGCATATGTTTGTCTAGATGATTCAACCATTGGTATGTTATTTTCTTTATGGATCCATTTTCCTTATTTATGAGTAGGCTTAACTTTCTTCTCACTAGTAACTTTCTTTTTTCTCATTCATGTTCTAGGGTTGATTCTAGACCTTCACTTACTATTATCTTTATGGTCTTTGATTTTGAGATTAATTTGCATGGCTACTTGAAGACTCTCCAAGTATGTTATCTTTGTTCATATACTTATTCGTATTTGTAACACACTATTTTCTCATGCAAGTGTTAGGGTTTATTTTTTAATCCTCTTTTTGGTTTTGGTCTATGAGATCATTAGCATGACTACTCGAATCATCAACTAGTAAGGTAGCATGTATGAATGAATCCTCAATATGAGTGTTTTTCCTCCAAAAATCACGTTACTTTTGGCCCACTATATGCTCAAGATGATTCAAAAACTAATATTTAAAGCCTTATCATCTTCTCTTTCAATCAGATCCCATAACCATTGACCTACATTTCATATATATGCTAAGTGTGAAATTTATAGTATAATTAGAGCCAAATTAAACATGGGTAGTCTCGATACAACATTTTAAAGTATGATTCATAATATTTACGTGTTTGAGATACCTTGGGTACAAGTTAGTTGTTGTTACTTGATCATGTGGGACAATATGCTCAAGTGTAAGGTCTAATATCTGGCCTTAGTCTGTTAGCTAAATTTCGTGAGTAAATTTGAGCGTGATTGTATTTGTTTCAATGAAGTTTGTTAAGCCAAATCAGTTGGAAAAAGGTTTTCTAAAATCATAATCCATAAAGGTTGAAGAAGATTTAATTGGATATATTTTAATTAAAATATTTAGATTTGGTTTAAATAAGAAGATTTGATTTGATTAGATTTGCATTGAAGAAAAATATTTATTTGAAGATGCCTTGAAAGAAGATTTGTTTCAGATTTAGTTTATTCAAGATTGTATTGAAATTGGATATGAAAAGATATTGATTGAATATTCATTCCACGAAAAGATTTAATTTTTATTTGCACTTAATGAGAAAATACCCAATATCCATCAAAGATAATTTAAAGTTTGATTCAGTTTTTGGAAAGAGATTTATTTTAAATCCCTTACTTGAGAAGTTGGAATGGTGTTTTATATCAAGTAAAGATTTTATTTGAGTTGTTCAAGGTTCATAATTTTGTTTCAAGGATAGATGTCATGTCAAATGTTCCAACGATATGTGAGACATCAGTCTTTAACCGTTACGTGGTGAGCAACATAAATTGAAGTATATATGGTCTTGTTATGATTTATTTCATTTTATAATATAACATAGATTTAAGCATGCTAGCTTGAGTTTGGATTTAGAAAAGATCTCATTCTATCAAGATTGCATGTGGAATGATAATTTGTATCAATCAGGGATATCAATCTTTCTAATAAAGATTTGATTGATTGTATGAGTTTTTGGAGAATGTAATCTGAACCAAATATTATAAAGATAATGAAGAATCTCAAATATATATATATATATATATATATATATATATATATATATATATATATATATATATATATATATATATATATATATATATATATATATATATATATATATATATATATATATATATATATATATATATATATATATATATATATATATATATATATATATATTTAAGATGATCAATCAAGACTAGAAATCATCATTATTGAAGATTGGTCTCATGTACTTTTTAAAAGTCCAACCGAATTCATGATAGACTTTTGAAGTTGTACTCTTATGGCTATATAAGGAGTTTATCTCCTTTGTGAAAACTCGGAACTCAAGAAAATATATACTCATTATGAGAATTTTGTTTTAGTTGAGTATTTATTTATGTTTGTATTATGTACTCTCTATTCGTAAGAGATAGTTTCACTCTTTTCTTGTTTGTTTTGTTTGGCTTTGTACAATGTTGTACATATACTCAGGAGGAGTAAGTGATGTTATGAGTTGGAAGAAGGATTTTGAAGCTCTCTTCATTTATTTATTGTTTTTTGTTATTAGATGGATTATGCTCTAATATGTAATATTGAGGAATGAAATATTTGATTTGTTTTGAGTTGATGTTTGAATTTTATTACTTTCTTTAAACGTTTCAATTGGAGTATTTTTGAAAGTTAAGTTAATTATTTGAGTTACGTTGCGAGTTTTAAAACTATTTGGAAAAGTATGCTTGTATGTTTGAGTAGAATCCTAAAACAATGATTTTATTTCTTTAAATTAAGATTTGGGGTTTTAGGGTGTTACACCTTTGGTTGAAGATGTGTGCTAGACTGGTTGGTTATTTTTTCTATCAAGCTTGCTATTTTGCTTCAAGTTGTGAACTTTGTTTGTGTTTATTTCCATACCTTTTCCAAATTGTATTAAAATGGGGAGTAATGATCATGTGGAACAGGATGTTCCAGTATTATGTTTTGTATGTAGCAACCACCTTTGATCTCTGATAAATCTTTCATTATTGTTGTATGTTCTGATGGGTGTTGTGTGATGTGTGATGCTTATGTGTTTTGTTTTGGGTGAAGATTTACTCTTGCACATTTATTAAAGTTTTTTTAGCCAAAATTTGCAAAAGGGAGGAGTTTGTTGTTACCTTGATTGACTGTATTCGGTAAAAACAACATGAGCAACACCAAGTGTAAA